GCCCTCTACGTGAGAGAGATGAGGCTTTCCGCAACTTGCAGTTAAACAGCCTTGTGGCCCAATATTCCGTGTTGTTGTTGGAGCTCCACACTACACGTCTCGCTGCGGCTCGAAGTTCTCGCTGCGGCTCCAAGTTTTAGTATGTAATCCATACTAAAAGTATAGTTTTGTTTTGTTTTAAGTATAGTTTTTGATCTTCATCAGTAAATGCTCCAAGTCCTCTTTACTTCTAACAAGCAAGGTTGTGTCATCTACTTATCGCCAGTTGTTAATGAGCTTTCCTCAAATCTTGATGCCAAATTCTTCTTTATATAGTCTAGCTTCTCAGATTATTTGTTCAACCTACAGATTGAATAAAGGAGCTCAGGTAGTGTAGTGGTCAGCAGTTTGAAACTACCAGCCATTCTGTGGGAGAAAGATGAGGATTTCTGCTCCTGTAAACATTTACAGCCTCAGAAACCCTATACAGGGTTTCTATGGGTCGGAGCCAACTCCACAGCACACTACCACCACCAGCACAGATTGAATACGGATACAGTCCTCACGCACATCTTTCCTAATTTTAAACCATGTAGTTCCTTTGTTCTATTTGAACAACTGCCTCTTGATCTATGTACAGGTTCCACATGAGCACAGTTAAATGTTCTGGAGTTTCCATTCTGTTCAATATTATAATTCATTATATCTACATAGTTGAGTGCATGTGCATAGTGAGTAAAACACAGGTAAACTTCTTTCTGATATATTTGACTTTTAGCAAGGATCCATCTAACATCAGCAGTGATATCCCTCATTTCACATTCGCTTCTGAATTTGGCCCAAATTTCTAGCAGTTCCCTATCAATGTACTGCTGCAACCAGTTTTGACTTGTTTTCAGCAAAATTGTATTTGTATGTGATATCAATGATAAAACTGAAAACCAAACCCATAGTCGTCATGTTAATTTCAACTTATAGTGACCTTACATAGGGTTTTCAAGGCTGCAAAGCTTTATGGGAGCAGACAGCCTCATCTTTTTACCACGGAGCAACTATTGGATTTAAACCACTGTCCTTAGGGTTAGCAGTCTAACGCCTAACCACATTATTGATCAGTAATTTCCTCATTCTGTTGGATCCCCTTTGTTTTGAATAGGCATGTATATGGGTCTCTTCCAGTCAATTTCATAGCATAAGTGACTGAGTGCTTGCAGCGTTTCATCTGTTTGTTGAAACCAGGGCTTCAGATTGGTTCTTCCCAGTTCAGTCATGGTCAGGGAAGCAAGACTGGGACAGACCCAGCATTAAAAAATTTTGGTGAGTTAGAATAATAACCAGAACAGGAAAAAACTTAATCTCCCTTTAAGAAAACAAAGGCAGCATATTTGTTGTAGAGCAAGCAAATCTCTTGCTTACCAGATTTTAAGCAGAGTTTGAAACCAGTGCCCTGCTCAAAGTTGGCAGCTGACTAGGCTGCTTTGAATGTGTTACTCTCCACAGTCCTGCCATTAATCCACTCTCACACATCAGGCTTCTGAACGGATTCGCTGTGCCTCTTCCAGGTCTCTCATGCCAGGGCTTTGACCCATAAAATCTCCCATACCAGTTATCATTCCAGATCACCAAATTTTTTAAAATTTAGGGCCCTTCTTGGTTTCACTTTATCAGCCAAGATTGAGTCAGTTTGAACCTGTTGGAGCCCTAATTGAAACATCTCAGTTGCTATTCTGTGGATTCCTAAAGCCTCATTTTTCGACAGTGCCTTGAGTGCAGCTTAAACTTCATCCTTCAGTACCATCTGTTCTTTTTGGTGCAGTGACTTTGGGTATTCCTTCCATCTTCTTTTGATGCTTCCTGCATCATTCAATGTTTTGCCCCTAGAATTCTTCAATATTACAACTTGAGCCCTGAATTTCTTCTGTTCTTTCAGCTTGAAAAATGTCAAGCATGTTCCCCGTTTGATTTTCTAACTCCAGGTTCTTTGCACATTTCATTATATTACTCTACTTTGTCTTCTCAAGCCGCCGTTTGAAATCTCCATTTCGCTTCTTTTGCTTCATCATTTATTACATTCAATTTAGCTACTCTGTTTTCAAGAGCAAGTTTCAGAGTCTCTTCTAACACCGATTTTGGCCTCTTTTTTTCTTTCCTGTCTTTTTATTGACTTTTTGCTTTCATCATGTTTGCTATCCTTGATGTCATATCACAGTTCATCAGGTCGTTGGTAATTAGTGTCCAATGCATCAAGTCTGTTCTTGGGATGGTCTTTATATTCCGGTGGGATATATGCAAGGTTGTATTCTGACTCTCATGGAGAGTTTTCATTTCCTTCAGCTTCAACTTGAACTTGCATATGAGCAGTTGATGGTCTGTTTCGCAGTTGGCATCTGGCCTTGTTAAGATTGATGATATTGAGCTTCTCTGTCATCTCTTTCCAAGAAACCCTGGTAGCATAGTGAATTACAAACTAGACTGCTAGCTGTAGGGTCAGTGGTTCAAACATGCCAGTCATTCCACAGGAAATATGAGTCATTCTGCTCCTGCAAAGATTTACAGCTTCGGAAACTCTATACAGGGTCACTGTGAGTTGGAACCAACTCTGTGGCACGCCACCACCACCATCATTTCTTTACACAAATGTAATCAGTTTACTTCCTGTATGTTCCAATCTGTCATCTGTAGCATTGCTTCTTTCACCAAGACCCTATTTTCCAACTATCAATCCTTCTTTGTTTCCAATTATTCTAATCAACAGTAATTATCATTGCATCTTGAGTGCATATTCAGTCAATTTCAGAAGTTGGTAAGATACTTCTTTTCTTCATTTATAATATGCATATATTATAAAATGGGATTATTCTGTTTTATAATTTGTTTTTTCACTGAACAATCCAAGTTTCTTTTCATGTCAGTAAATTATACTTTGATTTTATGATCTGTACCCAGTTACCAAGGCCAAATGCTACTCTGATTCTTTGGGCTCATATATGGGCAGTGAAAGGCAAGACAGGTGAAGTTGGAAAATCAGATGACTCATTTATTGTTCAGCATGAGGTAGTATAGAACTACTCATACCTCTGGTGGTTAAAATAGCTCCAGCTTCCCGAGCTGCTTCTCATTTTTCTCTTTTCCAAGAAAGCTTCTTTTACCTGTGACCTGTGCGTGCCTTCTTGCGTAAATCATTTTGCCATTACTAAGATTTAAGCATAAGGATCAAGGAGTTCTTGTCTAACTTCTTTTTTTCTAAGCCTTGGTGCTTCTTGAAGTGGCTTCTTGGAGTGTATTCCCAAGAGTACTAGCTAAGAGACTTAATTCCCAGTATACTTGATAATCCTGTTTAATTCCCTGAAGTCTTTTTTCACTCCTAAGTTGTTTGCCCTTGCTTTCTTAGTTGCAAGACTAGTGAGTTACAGACTACTACAGGAATGAAGAAGGTATTGGAGTTTGTGGCTTGTTGGGAAGGTGGTGCTACTCAGCTGATTTAAAAGGAATATTTCCAAAGTACAGGGCATTGAATTTTACTTCAACAAGCAAGTTTTCCTTTATTTTTGTGGAACAACACTGACCATTTTCTCATTATTTTCAATACTTTATGTGCTGCAAATTAATTTCATTTTGACTCAGGTGAAAGTAAAATCTCTTAGATTTTATGTAGATGTGTATCTTTTATATGACACCTGGATATTTAAGCTCAACCAAAAGATCTGTAAAATAGTGAATTTTCTTATAACTGAGACTTTACAAACAAATATTTAGAGAAGAACAGGGAAACAAGAGGTTTGAGTTCTTATGTAAAAATTAAATTGGACTGTATTATACATCAAAGGTATATCAAATGTAACTACATCTCATTTGTGCAAATACATGTAAAAAAGTCTGGTGACTTCTTTAAAGTTTCTACAAGTAATATTTCAATCCATGATGTTGGTATTGTATAGTTTGAGCTATACAGTGTCTTGCCATATTTAAAAGAAAAAAAAAAAAAAAGTCGAATTCAACACATAATTGTGTGACATGTGATGATGTTCTTTTATTAATACATATCTACAAGGCTTAAAGTTTCTAGCATTTTGCTTTTTCTGTCCTTGAATAAAAATCTCTTGTCGCCAACATAACTATCATTAGATTTGGACGCCCCTTTCTCCTCATTTTGTCCTTATAAGGCTATCCTGTTTTATCACTTCCTGCTTCAGCTCCTTACTTTTTCTCTCTTCCCCTCTCCCTCTTCTGGGGTGGATGCTTTCTCCATGTGGCAGGGCTGTAACTGTTCACAGCTGTCTGAAACGGCAGTGGACCGGGAGCAGCTTGGAGGTTTAACTTTCATTTTACAAAGAACAACATGCTTGAATGTTTCAACAGGCAAGTTATAACTGGCACTTACTTCTTGTTCTTCTAGAACACTGAAAATCTCCCCCAGCACTTTAGAAGGGGGACCCTGACTGTGCTAAAACAGAAGTGGGAAAGCCCAGAGCTTGGAGCTGAGTCGCACACAAACTCTCTGAGAAGCAGCAACACTGAGATTAGGCACAGAGTGGACCATCCTCCCACAGCAGTGGCAAGCAATTCCACGTCTAGAGCTGAAGCAGACCAAGTGGAACGAGGCCACCCCAGATCAAGATTGGGCTTACCCTCTGAAGCCCTCACTCAGTGCCTGTATCCCTGCACCGAGGACAGTGAAGAACTTCAAGACCAATTATCAGCAAGTGAAAAAATGGAAAGTTGTCTGGGAGAATCTAGGCATGAAGTAGGAAAACCTGAAATCAGTGAAAACACAGACGCTGCAGGCAAAATAGAAAAATATAATGTTCCGCTGAACAGACTTAAGATGATGTTTGAGAAAGGTGAATCAACTCAAACCAAGGTAAGAATTTGGCAGGTTTTAAATTTTTGAGAGAGTCAATTCAAGTAACTAAGCAAAGCGGTTTTTTTTTCAGTCTGTTTTTTAATGCAAATTAGATGAATTAATGAAAAGTCTCAAATTATTAACATAAATGCTGATATTTCTGAGCCCCTGGCTCAATTTCATGTTAAATTTACGCTAGGATTCAGGTTGCTATCTAGAAATGAAATAGAGTTTGCTAATCCTTGGATTTTGTGTTTTTGTATGTTTGCCCTTTTAATTTGTCTTTCTGTGCCTTTTGCCATGTGTAACTTTGAGGGGAGAATTGCTCTCCGTCCATTTGGGCACAGCTGTAGATTGAGTGTTTAGACCAGAGTTTAACTTTAAGACTGAGGCTTAGTTGTCTCTTTGCTAGCTGAATCCCTTCTCTTCTCAACTTCTTCGTCTGTGCCTTCCAACAAATGTTTTCTATCAGCTAAAATCCTCTCCCAGGAAAAAATCAATGAAGATAGCCAGACTAGCTGTAGCCATCAGGAGTTTTGACTTGCAAATGCACAGGGTTGCATTTTCCTACAACTGCTAATGAAATTTGATCCTTCATGTGGATTGCAGACTGGGTCCCCAGAGGGAATTACTTAACTAGAAAATGAGTTACATATGCTGGTGACTTATAATACAATCCAGAGGCCCCAGAGCTGGTAAAATTTTCCAGTTTTCTCATACTTTCCTACATATCTAGCTTAGTACATGGGGATGGTTTGTTAACAGCATTCATTACAATGAAATAAACAGATCTGATGGAGGGGAAGCCTTCATTTACTCTAGGTGCCATCGAGATGGGAAAGCGGTTTTGTTTTTTTGGAAATTAAATCTTTGGCTCAGATCTCTGCTTTTGTGAAGGATGAAACATTCTCTCTAAGATAAAAATTAGATAGTTCATCCTCTAGGCCTCAGTGATGTTATGCATGACTTAGTTAAATCCCTTCTTGTAACTTGCAGTGCTTTCCTACCTAGAATTATGCGTGTGAGTGTTTGAGGATCATCTAGTTGAGGAAGCAGGAAGAATTTTTTTCAAAGTTTACAAAGCCAGAACCTTTTCCTGTGCATGAGTTTTAGCTACATTCTTTAACACTGAAGCCAACTGACAAGAGTTTTATGCCTTATGTCTTCCCTTCTCTTCCAGGCCTGCCAACTTTTTATGGTCTTTATAATTTATTTTTTTCCTTTAAATGGGAAAAAGAATTTTAAATAGAAGGGGAAAAAATGTCAGAAATCCTAAATAGAGAGGAAGGGGCTTTGTTGTGACTCAAAGCACCATTATAAGTCTCCGTCTCAAAGATCCTGTTAGGGGCAGGATAGCTGATGTCACACCAACACACACAATGTAGATTCAGTGCCCAAGGCCATTGCATGTTCAAACTGGCCTAAGGTAGGAAATGACTGGGACTGCAGCAAACAAAACTGCTGATTATGTGTTCTAGGGGTCTGGTGAGAGGTTCTTTTCTCATAAAGTCTGAAGAGACATGGGTCAGAACAAGCCTATCTCTATTTGCCTCATCAGAGTGGAAATGAAAAAAAGATCTCAATAGATTTCTCATATATCTGGGCAGCCTGATTGTGAAAGGTATAGGAAGATAGTGAGGTTCTAGGACTGGCCTGGGATTTTCCAATTTCAGAGTGCCTTTAAGGATTTTTGGTGACACAGTGGGTTAAAAGTAAGGCTACTAACTGCTCAGTCCACAATTCAAACCCATTAGCCAATCCACAAGAAAAAGATGAGGCTGTTTGCTCCCATTAAGATTTATATTCTCAGAGACTCTAAGGAGTAGTTTTTGTCTGTCCTATGGGGTTGTTATGAGTCAATGACAGTGGATTTGAGTTTTTTAATTCCTGAGTAGGTAGCCATTTGTCATTTAATGGCCTGTTAGGAGTGTAAAACACAGCTACCCTTGATTTTATGACTGTTTCTAAATGAACATCATTACTCATGTTGAAAACAGGTCTTGTCTAATATCTCCATAAAGCTGTTTTTTTTAAGTTCTATCTAGGTTAAGGAAAAACTTATCAGTTTAAAACTAGATTACAGTTAACTTCAGTTTTAACATGAATAAGATTTTAGTCAGGAAGTTACTTATTTAGATCTTTGAAGGAAACTGAGAAATATGGTAGGAACTCTAGAAATTCTTTAGAAGCAAGAGGGTACCAGTAGGAATGTTTACTTCAGAGCTAGGAAATTAGTACTTTAGTGAGAGAAATAAACATAAGCCACATTCACTGTTGTTGAGTCAATTCAGAAATAAATCCATGGGTGTAAATTGTGTGACTCTTTGGTTTCATAATGGAATTTGAGATAACTGGACTGAATTCCATCTTACTAGCTGAAAGGAGACTGGGATCACATAGAAAATAGAAATTTATGGCTTAACATCTGGTCTTCCTAAATCTTTTTGTCAGCATTTTTTATAAGAGGCAAAGTTAACAGGCTTGGGCTCTACTTTTCTTAGTCTCTGATGCTCCCTTTTATCTGAAGGCTTCTGTGTTCTTGTCTCCTTTCTCTTCCCTTCCCTTCTCTTCTTCATGATCTCTTCTCTGCCTCCCAGTCTTTTTCTCCCTCTGTGTTTCTATATCTCATCTGTTTCCATGATCCCAAGAGATGAATCCTAAAGATAAATTTGAATCCTGAACTCTTTCTCAAGGTTTTGTGATATGTTTCTGATTGCCTGCCAGATTCCACATCTCTTTGTGAATGTCCCTCAGGTATTCAAATTTGAAGTGACTAAAAAAGAATCCTTTATCTTTCCGCCCAAAACCTGCTCTACCACTGGTGTCCCTTAATGCTTCACCATTCATCTAGTTTCCTGGTCTACATATCTTGGAATTCCGTTCTTCCCTCTGTTTATCTCCTCCCCCTAGTCAATCACTTACTTAACCAAGCCCTCTAAGCAAGTCTATCTCTAAACATTTCTCAAGTGTTGACCATTCTTTCCCCCATCTAATTCCAAGTTACTGCATCTTGCATTTTAGCATTGCTATAGTCTCCTCCATTGTTTTCTCATTCTTTTCTTCTCATCTACCCTCCACACTGTTGCTATTTGTTTTTCTAATCATGGTTGTAGTTTATGTTACTCCCTCAAAAGTTGATAAAAAAAACTTTTATGCCTCAAAAGTAATTCGTATTTATTATCCAGGTCTTTCACAATCAACGCTTAATCTACCTTTCCAGTCTTGTAGCCAATTTTATACTCAAACTATGGATCACTCCTCATTCTCTAAATTTCATGTTGTCTCATGCTATTCTTCAATTACTTTGAAGAATCGTCTTTTGAAATCTTACTTATTCCTTATTGTCTATCAAGACTGTGAGGCCATATGTTGGTTTCTCCCATATGAAATTATCTTCACTCGCCTCACCCTCCTATAGAACTTTATTTTTACTTTTCTTTGGGCACTTATATTATACTTTCTTAATAGTTGCAAATGGATTTGTATACTCTCCAGTCTATAGCCTCTTTCAAAGTAAAGCTGTTTTTATTCCTCAGTGCTCAACACAGTGACTTGTCGTTTAGCACTTAATTAATTAGAAGGAAGAAAGAAGCTTAGAACTCAAATAATTTATAAAAAATGAGAATTGATTAAAGGCTGTACCTCACTTGCTCTCTGCCTCTGATGAATGGATAGGCTATTTAAACCAGATAGTTTAATTGAACATTATGGTTCTAATTCCTATGAGTGAATGAGTGGTAGATAGATTCATGTTATTAGGAAAAAGAAGCACCCTAGTGACACATACTGAACGTGGTTTAGCAGTCTTCACTTCATGGGTATGTCAACCTGTGTTTCAGTTAACGAAGGATAACTCTTCCGGGCCTCCTTTTGTGGAAAAAACAACAACAACAACTGATCAGCACTTAATAACCAGTGTTCAGTTATTGTCATTTTAACAATTGAATCCATAATCTTTAGAAACAAAGATAAGGTTATTTTAAAAATCACCTCTTCCTTCCCCAGGAATGCCCAAACAAGGAGGGAAGTATATGACAGACTCCTTATGCCTGTTATTTGTTTCATACAACGTTTTCAGTCTATAGAAATCCCAGAATAGGAACATAGAGACCAGACATTCTGCCTTCATAGCCAAATTTAAATGTCCTTTTCTTGGGTAAAGTTTGGACCAGTAGATATAATGCAAGGAAATACTACTGTTGTCAAGTTGGTTCCGATTCACAGTGACTCTGTATAGGATTTCTGAGGAGTGGCTGGTGGGTTTGAACCTCCTACCTTGTAGTTAGCAATCTGGTACTTATCCTACAGCACCACACCAGGACCCCAAATGCTGACTACTACTTCAGTGCAATGTTCTCACCTTCTAGAGGCTCCTCTGCAAGCCTTGCCTCTCTTCAGTTCAAGTCCCAGCTTTTTTTTTTTTTTCTCTGTAATGTCTTTTTTAATCCAAAATTAATTTGATTTTTGTGTACTTTATCCTCATAAAATCTATAATGCTGTCAATGACTGCATTATTAACAGGACAAGATGGGCAAACCTCATCTTTATTATTAACTGTGTGGGAAGGATCAGCATAAATTCAATTCACGACTGGAAATGGATCCAGGTGTCACCATCCTACAACTCCTTGTCACCAGGCACTTCTGTGGCACTTCCTCTCTCACCCTAACCACACAAAGTTAGGTCAAAACATTCCTGGTCACCCAAGGCCAGGTCATGGGGGACCAACCATAGGCTCAAGATCTGCAGAACACCCTGAAGTTCAGAGCAGGCTGCCCTCTCTCTCTCTAGTCCCCTGGGGCCAGGTTGTAAGCTAGAAGGGCTCTGTCCTTCAGCCTTTTTAGACATCCTGGTGTGGCACCGTGGGATAAAACACTGGAATGCAGGGTCAGTTTGAAATGCAGGGTCGATTGCAGCAACAACATAGTATATGTTAATGCTTCCAATGAGTTGTATTTTAATTGGTTTTTAACTTCTAAAAGTAAAACAGTACATTCCGATAAAATAGACATATCTCC